TGCAGAATCTTTTGTAGTGGTGGCTTTGTGGTCAATTATTGTTTTAGTTTCTGCTTATCCTGGAAGACTTTTATTGCTCCATGTATTTTGAATGATAGTTTTGCTGGGTAGAGTATCCTGGGGTTGAAGTTATTTTCATTCAGTGCCCGTAAGATCTCACCCCACGCTCTTCTTGCTTTTAATGTTTCTGTTGAGAAGTCCGCTGTGATTTTGATGGGTTTACTTTGTATGTTACTTGTTTTTTCTCTCTTACAGCCTTCAACATTCTTTTCTTAGTTTCTGACCTTGTTGTTTTAATGATGATATGTTGTGGAGTAGTTCTATTTTGATCTGGTCTGTTTGGTGTCCTGGAGGCCTCTTGCATCTGTATGGGAATATCTTTCTCTAGATTTGGGAAATTTTCCGTTATTATTTTGTTAAATATATTACACATTCCCTTTGCTTGCATCTCTTCTCCTACTTCGATGCCCATGATTCTCAAGTTTGGTCTTTTGATGGAGTTGGTGAGTTCGTGCATTTTCTTTTCATAGGTCTTGAGTTGTTTAATTAATAGTTCTTCGGTTTTTCCTTTAATTACCATTTCATCTTCAAGTTCTGAGATTCTGTCTTCTGTTTGTTCTATTCTGCTGGATTGGCCTTCCATTTTGTTTTGCAGTTCTGTTTTGTTCTTTTTTCTGAGGTTTTCCATATCCTGAGTGGTTTCCTCTTTAATGTTGTCTATTTTTGTCCTGAGTTCATTTATCCATTTATTCATCGTGTTCTCTGTTTCACTTTGGTGTTTATACAGTGCTTCTATGGTTTCCTTTATTTCTTCTTTTGCTTTTTCAAATTCTCTATTTTTGTTGTCTTGGAATTTCTTGAGTGTCTCCTGTACATTTTGGTTGACCCTATCCAGTATCATCTCTATAAAATTCTCATTGAGTACCTGTAGTATGTCTTCTTTTAAATTATTCTTGTGGGCTTCATTGGGTCCTTTGGCATAGTTTATCTTCATTTTGTTGAAGTCTGGATCTGAGTTCCTATTTTCTTCATTCCCCTCTGGTTCCTGTACTAATTTTTTGCTGTGGGGAAACTGGTTTCCCTGTTTTTTCTGTCTTCCCATCGTCTTTGGTGTTGTTACTGTCCCTGTACTGTGTGCAATTAAGTATTTTCTAGCTTGTAATAATAACAATGGTAATATTTAGAATGGAAGGGTGAGCTGAGATGGAAAGCAAGAAGTTAAACAAAGCTGGAAAACAAATACACAGACAAGAGGGAGAAAGCAGAACAAGGTTTCAGACAAGAAAGTTTTAAAGGTATAAACAGGGAGCATTAGTGTACTAATTGACAGTAAGCTTAACAGACATTAGAGAGACAGAGGATTGAAAATCAAAAATAAAAAAAAATAAAGATAATAAAAATAAAAAGTAAATGAAAGAAATATCTATATATAAAAATGAATTAAAATAAAATGGAAAATAGAAAATTAAAAAAAAATCCTCCAAGTTCAAATGCAATGAAGTTTCAGTCTTAATAATTTGGGTGTCCGTCTCAGTCTCCAATCCTGGAGATGGTGCCTCAGATGTTGTTCTGTAGTTGTCTCATCAAAGGGGATGCATAAGGTAGAACAAAACTACACACACACACACACACACACACACACACAAACCCCACTAAGTGTCCCAAGTTCAAATGCAATACAGTTTCAGTAAGTTTTTCCACTTGCAGGTGTAATTCGGTTGTTCTCTCATCAAAGGTAGGGAGAAAAAGAAAAAAAAGAGTCTGGAGACAGTTCTATGAATGGTATCTGCAACTGTGGCTTGCCTGCCCACTGCTGTCAACCTGCTGTTGCTGGAGGCGTTACGTATGCAGATCTCTGGGGTGAGTTTAGCACTCACCAAGCCCCGAAGGCTTTGTTTGCTCAGAGTTTTCCTGTGAGCCTCTGCTACAAGCTATCCCCTTTCCAAGCACTGGGAAAGGTGACACTGCACGCGCGTTGTCAGGCTGCGTGTTTATTTACAGTTCATGTGGGAGGTGGGTCTTCTCCCCTTTCCTGTGCAGTTTTCCTCCCACCGCCACTTTCACAAGCTTTTCTGCTCCTGATTTGTTTACAGTTCACGTGGGAAGTGGGTCTTCCCTCCTCTCCTGTGGAGTTTTCCTCCCTCTGCCACTCTCACAAGCTTTCCCGCTCCTGGGTGCTGGGTGCGTGCCCCGCCCCCGCTCCTGCCAGAGCCTCTCCGGCCTGCCCGGCTTGTTTATTTACAGTCCTGGGAAGGATTCCCTTCCCCCAATCTTCGGCACTCAGTGCGCCCCACCCTCTTTCCCGCGTGTCTTTATTGTTCTTATTGCTTATTACTCAGTTTCTCTTTTTTTCCTGGGTGGAGGTCAGTCTGTCCAGGGGGCTATGCTGCTCTGACCCAGGCTTGTCTGTGGGAGTACCACGGTACCGTGAAGCTCACCTGGTCCACGTCTTCCCAAGCCGTCTGGGCGCGGGCGACTGGCGGCCTGGGGGCCCTCCTGGTGTCTCTGTTTAACGTGAAGTGGAGATTTTCTGAGCCGGCTGGAGGTGTGGAGGGGTCAAAGTTATGCCTCTTCTCAGTGATTATGCCTGCAAAATGTGTCTCCAGCATCTCTCCAAGATTTCACTATAGGAGGCTCGCTTTCTGCTTTCTCCCTCTAGCCGCCATCTTGGAATCCCCCAGGAATTGTTTTTTAAAAATTTAATTTCCTCAAATCATAATTTGTAAAGTCAAATCTACAAACATATACATGTACAAGGTAAATTAACTTCCATCACTCTCCCTAAACTCTGCTTCCCATCCCCTATAGAGCTGTGCTTTTCAGTAAGTACTGCATCAGTACAAGTAGGTTTTAAATTTTAAATTAATTAAAATTAAATTAAGGTAAAATTTCTCAGGCACATTAGAGCCATTTCAGGTGCTCAATACTACATATAGCTAGGTATCACAAATGACACAGATTGTAGAGCCTTTCCACCCTACCCTAGAGAGCTCATTTCTTTAAACTTTTGATTTATCCTTCTACTTTTAAAAATATAAAATGTTATATACATTGCCCTTCTTTGACAAATAGTAGTTACTGTATCAATTTGTTTTCTGTTACTATGATGAAATATCTGAAGCTGGGTACTTATAAAGAAAAGAGGTTTATTTGGCTCTCAGTTTGGCGACTAAAAGTCCAAGATTGGGCAGCCCCAGTTCTTTAGCTTCTTGTAAGGCTTCATGGTGGATGATATCCAGTGATGGCAGTGTGTATGAAAGAGATTATGAGGTGTGACAAGAAGCCAAAAGAACATCAAGCTTCCAGCACAGGAGCCTTTGGGGGACAAAGCATATATGAACCATACAGCACATTATATGTTCTTTATATGCTTTTATCTTTCTTCATTTTCATTTTTTTTCCCCTGATGTTGAGGATCCCATCCAGGGCCTCATACATGTTAGGCAAGTGGTGTAGCATTGAGCCTACTTTCCCAGCCCTTCCTTTTCTTAATATATATCCTGGAGATTGTCTTAAACTGTAGAGTAGTCTTCATTACATTAATAGCCTCATAGTACTGTACTTCACTGTGTAGATCTTTATCATTTGTCAGTCTGGTTCCTTGTTGATGGCCAGTTTGATTGTTTTACTCTTTTTAAGGGAGAGGTAAAGCCATCTAAAATCTATGTTGCTCAGGCTGACACTATTTCATTTATCCCTTATTTTGCAAGTCATTTTCAGTTCTTGAGTTCAGAAGAATATTCAGTACTTTCAGCATCTTTTCAATAAATATGTACATTTGAGATTATACTGTATTTACTACTTTTAGTTTTTTCTGTATCATAATGTAAGTTGTTTTCCTTAGGGCACAGTTGTTTTCTTTTTGTAAACATTCCCAACATCTTCATGATACTATACTATATGAATTTTTCTAATACTTTTCTTAATCCATGATGGTTGTACATTAGGTTAAGTTGCTTCCATTTGTTAGATATTGCATTGTACCACATTAAATATTTGCACATGACTTTCTCCCTACTTTTAGAGTTATTTTCTTGGACTCCAGAAATGGAATTATTTAATCAAAGGTTAAAAAGCATAGTTAAGTCTTAATACATCTTGCCAATTTTTGTTCCAAAAACCTCTACAAATCTTTTCCTGATGGCATCTCTGGCAGCATTAAGTGTTTTTCTTTTGAAAAATCTCTCTCCCTCCCTCCCTCCCTCCTTCCCTCTCCCTCCCTCCCTCCCTCTCTCTCCTCTCCTCTCTCTCTCTCTCCCTCCCTCCCTCTCTCTCTCTCTCTCTCTCTCTCTCTCTCTCTCTCATTTTTTTGCTTTTTGAGCCAAGATCTCCCAGTGTAGCTCAGATTGCTTTGAACTCACTATTGCTATGTAACCCCAGGCTGGTCTGGAACTGGGGATCCTCTTGACTCTGCCTCCTGAGAGTCAATGCTTGCTGAGATTGCAAGCATGTACCACCATGCTGTGCTGACTTTGTCTTTTTCTTATGGGGTGGTATGAGGCATTTATTCATGAATTAAGGATGGCGACCATTTTTCTGTCATGTTTGCAAATGCTTTTCATCAATTTTTTTTTAAATATACTTCACCATTAAATTTTTTAATAGTCAGGTATTTTCTTTCTTTATTGTTAGCAGGTTTGTTCTTTATCACTATCACCACTTCTCCCCTCCACCCCACCAACACAGAAACTGGCAAGTTGTTAAAATTCAGCATTTACATTTATTATAACTCTTTAAGATTCAAGGGAGTCAAATTTAGTTAACATTTATTCAGAAGCAGTTGTATGTCCGGTCTTTATATGTTATTTTCTTTCTAAGCTGGCACAGGATCTTTTCTCCCAAAAACTTATGTAGGAAAATATAGTAAAGTTAAATTATAGCCATTTAAAATTACAAACTCTATGATTTTGCTTTTATTATTTTGCATTATAACTAATTATAGAAATTTATTTCATGATTCTATGATGAGTCCCCCTTATCCTTCCTCAATTATAGGGAATAAAGTGTGTCTTGTGGTTACTAATGTGAACTGTGGACTATGGATATAGTGCTGAGAAAATGAATTGCAAAGAAATCAATATGAAGACTATGAAAACATTCTTCAGCGTTGCCACAAATCTATGAAATTATAAAAACAGAGACCATTTGTCAAAACAATGGGGGAAAGAAGTTCAGATACTGATCAAGAAAGAAAAACAAACAAACAACATTTTTCTTGTTATTCATCTGATTTTGGAACTACACCACAATCTTCTGGCCAGTCATCACCAGTCAGTCCTCCTTCACCTACAAATCCTAAGGGAAAAAGTCCTAAAAGACAAGTACCAGGTAACAAAGTGCTTTACCAAGGTAAGTATTCCTTAAAAGAGTTCCCGGTGAACATAGAAGGCTCATGCAGAGTGCTTAAGGAAAACTTGTGTGAAGGAGACTTCCATTAGTATGTATATTGCTATATACATGGAAGTAGGCTGATTTACATTTTCAATAGGGTATATTTTTATAAATTTATATAAATGTTGCTTATGGTTCTGTATATTACCATTTTAAATTCACAGTCATTCAGTGTTCAGAGAATATAACATAAGACTGTTTCTTTTCTTTTCTCCCTAAATAAATACTGATCTTGGGATCACTAAAGTACTTACTATAAAGGCAAAACCTATAAAACAATTGTACTTTTCTGCATCTTCATTTTTAAAAGCAGTGAAAGGCATTGATATAAACTGGGTAAAAGGCATTTTTATAGATTGAATAAAATTTCTTATCCTTGGTAGCACAGTGCTTACTGCAAAAGTTAAAGTTAAGCACAGGTGTGGTGACTTGTGCCTATAATCCTAGCTGCTTCGGAGGCATAGGTAGGAGGATCACAGTCCAGGTGGCTGGGGCAAAAATGCAAGACTCTTTTCAAAAAATAACTATAGCAAAAAGGGCTGAGCTTATAGTTCACGTGGTAGAGCACCTTTCTAGCAAGTGCAAGGCCTGAGTTCAAACCTCAGTACTGCCAAAAAAAAAAAAAAGTTCAAGTTAAACCTGGGAATGAAATTTAGGACTTGGAACAATCAGTCTAATTTCTTTTCCATTATACTGTTTATAATAGAAAATAGATTACATTAAAAATAATTTTTGATATTAAAATATTATTCTGGAACATATTTGGCTATGTAATGTTCTATAAATCTCTTATTCATTTTAATCTTTGGTCAAGAAAACTACTCTACTGAGTAACAAAATATTTGTGGTCTACAAAACCATTGTAGAAAAATAGTTAAGGCAACTGAGGTCGTTATTGTATACATTAATAACATGAAGCATAGTTATGCTAGCAGTAGATTAGATTATTGATACTTCATCTTGCAAGGCAGGGTGTGGTAAAATTGGGGACTGAAAGGAAAACAGGTCATTTTGGGAAATACTTTGTATCCTGTGCTAATACAGTATATTGACTATTTCTGTGGGTAATAGCCATTGAAAAGATTTAAGCAAGGGTATTATTAAATTTGCCTTTACAAATTTTCACTTTGAAAAGTAATATTTGCACATTAAAAACTACAAAAAATATGTCTTCTTTTTGAAAGTAACCGTTTTAGGGATGCCTAATCTAGCATCTAACAGTTGAATGACTTTCCTTTTTGTTTTCTTTCTTTTTCCCCAAGCTTGATCCTTTTGTTAATATCCCTCCAAATCTAGTTCAATGAGGGGCTCTTTTAGTTTTGTTTGTTAGTTGGGAACATGATCTTAATCTTCTGCTATATAACTAAGAACAAGTAAATATATCTTAAAGTTGAATCTTAGAAAATGCCTGTTATTCCTTAGAAATATTTTACATATGTAGGGTATTGTTGGCAAGGAATACTTTAATTTTTCTTCCTTCCCCAAACAACGTAGGGTACCCAATTAAGGAGTTAGAACTTTGTAAGTCTTACCTTATTTGAGAATATAATTAAGAAAAAGCTATGAAAAATAGTTCCAGCATCAACCAGAAAATTTCAGTTATCATCTTCCCTGTGACTTGCCCTGTTTTCTGCTTTGCAGTCTTTTGAATTAAAATCTGTGGTAATTTGTCTGCCTTAAAGCACGCAACAAGACTGAACTGATATCTTCCTTTGAACACCTAAGTTAATTTCTCTTAGTTTAAATTGCCATCACTGGTGTAGACTAAACTAAGGAAAAAACAAATGTGATTAAAGCATCATCCTAAACATTTAAATTTTCGTGTTTGTGTTTGGTAGCATACTCTTCCTTCTCCCTCCTTTATAATTTTTAGCATATTGTGTTATTTTTAAGGTAAAATTAGTACTCTACCAGAATTTATATGTATATAAAATTTAATAATAGTTTTGGTTATACATGTTTGTGTGGTATATATACATATTTTGATTTTCTTTGGTAGATGTATAGTTTATTTTTACTACATTTTAAAAATTAGTCATATTTCATTTTTAACACTGAAAATAGGAAAAAACAATCTTTCCACCCACTTTTCAGTTAGACCTAACAAGGAACAGTTGAAAAATGACATATACAATAGCCATTTATCTTTCTTCTTAGTTCTATTAGTCCTCCATTCCACTTGATAGCTTCAAAAGTAAAAATAAGAATGAAAAAATGAAATGAAAATGTAAAAATGGAAAAAGTAAAAATGGCAGGTGAAAGCCAAGAAAAATGTTCATGAGTTCACGTTCATGATCAATTTGTGGCAGTGCTAATGAAACGTGCCAAAAATTAATGGTCAGAGTCTTAGGATATCAAAACATTGGTTGTGGAAACTCTTTTATTTGACTAAGTAGTTGAAATAAAGTATTAGTTGAAGACTTTCTGTTTTGATTATTATATTAATTAGGCTTTAACTTTTGAAATGAAACAAGTTACTACTTGTGTGAAATCTTGTTTTCTGAGCAATGTAATTTTATTCATAACAACCAGAGATTTCTTAGCACACATGAGGCCCCAGGTTGAGTCCCCAGCATAAAATGGAATAGAATAGGATTTAGAATAATTGCTGCATATCTTTATGTATATAAGGTTTCTGTCATTCCAAGTGTTGAGTACATCTCTGTAACACAAAACTCTGGTAACTCAATTGTTGGAAAAGAGAAAATTGAAACAATGGTCACTCCAAATTCAGAATTACATTCTAAAGCAATGTTGTCCGATGGAATATAATTCAATTTACAAATGCAAGTCACACATGTAATTTTTGTATTTTCTAGTAACCACATTGAAAAAAAGGACCCCCATGAAATTAGTTTTAGCATTTTCTTAACCAAACATGGCAAAATATTGCCATTTCTGCATATGATCAGAATAAAATATTGTGAAATATTTGGCATTCCTTTTTTAAAACTAGCTGTTAAATAAATAAATAAAAAACAGTGTGTATTTCACAGTTAAAACATGTCTCAACTCTGACTACTGTGTTTCTGTTTCTCCGTGGCTACACAGGGCTAGTGTCTTTGGAGAGTTTTAAAGTTACAGTTCACTTGCTTCTTTTTCTTACTATTTCCTTTCATGTATTCAAGCATTTATAGAGCTAAAATTCCAAATCAGTATGTATAAAATCTTCCATCTTTTAAATAAAACTTTAAAATGTTAAATTGTAAAAAGTAGCTGTTATTCTTTTCTTGGTTACCTAATGAATCAGGTATCCATGGATGGTAAGATGGGAGGGAAGCATTGGATCTTCTGGTTTTTCTTAATTTTCTATTTACTCAAGAAGCATTTGCTTCTTGGGAAAAAAAAATGCAGTACCTTGGAGATTAAAGCTCATTGTTCTTAACTCTGGTAGACTTTCAGATACCTCTTTTAAAGGTCAGGTACTTGTATAGTAAGGTGTAAGTTTAATGAACTTTTAATAAAACTAAAAAAAAATGTTTGAGAAATGTTATAATTTAATCTCTACACTTTAAAGATTTCATAGCTTTTTTTTAGGATGTGATTTTTCTTGTTCTCAAATTATGTCATATATTTTTGATTTGAACATTACATTAAAAAAAATCACAGAGAAAGCATTTAGAAGCACACCTGTACTCCTGTTTGCCATTTTCAGTCACTGGTAAATGGGAGTTAAGTTCTTATTACTAACAGAGAATACTATGTAAAATTTTTTGGGTTTTTATTTTTTTTGTGGAGCTGGGGTTTGAACTCAGGACTTTGCACTTGCAAAACTGGTGCTCTACTGCTTGAGACACACCTCTAGTGTGATTTGTGTATTTTGGAGAGAGGGTCTTAAGAACAATTGGCCTGAGCTGGCCTTAAACCCATCCTCCTGATCTTAACCTCCCAAGTAGCTAGAATTAAAGGCATGAGCCATCTGGCACCCAGTGAAGTTTTTGGTTTATATTCATATTTCATTTAACTTTCACAACAACCTGTTTGTGGTGGTAGTGGTGTCCTCATTCTGTGGGTCAGGAAGATGAATTGGAAGGTTTAATTGAATTGCCCAAGTAGTCATTAAGTGGTAAATCTGAATCTCCAGTCTTTCCACTATACAATATGCTATCGTCCTATTTCCCCAAATTAGGAAAAGGAGTTGTAATTAATTTAGAGAAAATGTATGCTTTCACATTTCAAACAATCCCAACTATCTGAGCACAAATGACTTGAATGTCAAGGCAGATTTGAATGCCTGATGTTTATTATGTACTGTGCTAATGTTGGTGGCACCCATATTTGAATTCTGACTTACCATCTTGTCTATAAAGTTAAAAGTAGCTAGGGCCTGATACTGTCATCTTTTAAAGCAGTATAGAATAATCCCGTATAAACTATTGGGATAACGTTTTTGATGGGTTTAATGGGTTCTCCACTTTTTTTAGAAGATTCAAAGCCATTCTTTCTTTCTTTCTTTCTTTCTTTTTTGGATGGTACTAGGTGTTGATCTCAGGGCTTCCCACTTGGTAGGCAGTAGGCAGGCACTCTATCACGTGAGCCACTCTGCTAGTCATTTTTGCATGGTTAATTTTGAGATAGGGTCTCACTTTATGTCCGGACCACAATCCTATTTGTGCTTCCCACTTAGCTGGGATTACAGATGTATTCCATCATGTTCAATCATTGGTTGAGATAGGGTCTCATAAACATTTTGCTTGGCCTGGTCTTGAACAGCAATCCTCCCAGTCCCTGCCTCCCAAATAGCTAGGATTACAGGCTTGAGCCACTGTACCTCTAACCCAAGCCACTCTTAAAAGAAACATAGTAAGACCTCTAAATAAAACTTGTTCTTTAAGTATTGTTAAGTACTTTGATATGCACAAAAATAACTGAAGAATGTTATGGACTCACATGTGCTTAGACGAATAATACTATATTTGGTATAGCTTTCATTTTACATTATTACTGTTTCTTTTTTAGTTCCTAGGAGAACAAGCCCTAAGGGTCTGCCAAACAAGGGAAACCGAGTGGGATTTCGTTCCCAAAGCCTCAATAGAGAGCCACTTCGGAAAGATGCTGATCTTGTTACAAAACGGGTTCTTTCTGCAAGACTGCTAAAAATCAATGAGTTGCAGAATGAAGTATCTGAACTGCAGATCAAGTTAGCTGAACTGCTGAAAGAAAATAAGGCTTTGAAAAGGCTTCAGTACAGACAGGAGAAAGCCCTGAATAAGTTTGAAGATGCAGAAAATGAGATCTCACAACTTATACTTCGTCATAACAATGAGATTACAGCACTCAAAGAACGCTTAAGAAAATCTCAAGAGAGAGAACGGGCGACTGAGAAAAGGGTGAAAGATACAGAAGGTGAACTGTTTAGGACAAAATTTTCCTTACAGAAACTGAAAAAGATCTCTGAAGCTAGACACCTACCTGAGCGAGATGATTTGGCGAAGAAACTAGTTTCAGCAGAGTTAAAATTAGATGACACTGAGAGAAGAATTAAGGTAAGATTTCTATGGCTTCTAACTGCTCTCTTGGGTGGTTTTTCATGGAGATTTCATGTGCTCTCATGAAATAGCATATGGCAGTTTGGCATTTGCTTAGGATTGAAAATATTTTAATTACTATTTTTCTAAGTAAGATCAGGAAAAATTTAAGATTGTATATTTAAGAGCAAGGGGACAAGAACATAAACATTAATAAGCCACATGTTTTATGACTCAGTCATTTTGGGGAAATATTCTATTTGATTATCTGATTGTTTCTCTAAAACTGAAAATAAGACTTTAATAACCATATATGAAACTGACCTTTTGAGGCCATTGTGTAAGAAACCCTATATGAATAATACTTTGTTTTATTTATGCATTTGTGACAGAAAAGTTCTAGTACATAAGGCATCTCTTGGGGCAGGTTTCGTCCCTACTTCCAAATAAAAACAGGAGAGTGGGTGGGAGGATATTGACTAACTAGTCAGAGAATACAGTAGAATTTTTTTTAAGTATTACATTCTGTGGAAAGAGAAAGGAAAGGGGTCATACTGCATGACTTTTACACTAGGAACTTAATATTAGATGTCACTTGGTAGCTAACAAACAGAGGACTAAGTCAGGTTCTACTGCTTAGAATTGACAAGTAGTTTGGAAGGCAAAGGTAAGCAAAAAAAGGTATGAGTATAATACCTGTATGAGAGCAGAAAGAAACTTCAGTTCTGTTTTCTAGAGTAGTAATGCCTTTTACATTCCCATCAGCAGTGTGTGTGTGTGTGTGTGTGTGGGGTCCAGTTTCTGTGCATCCTTGTCAGCATTGGATACTAACACTTTTTATTTTACCCATTCTAATAGGAATGTAGCACCTTCGTATTGTGATTTAATTTGCATTTTCCTAATGACTGATTGAGTGAATCATCTTCTTATGTGCTTATTCAATATCTGTAGATTTATTTATTTTGTTCATGGTTTTTGCCCATTTGCTAATTGAATTGTGCTTTTTTTTTTTGTTGCTCTTTTGAGTTACCTTTCTTGATATAAGTCCATTTTCAGATATATAGTTCACAAGTACTTTCTCCCAGTCTGTAGCTTTTCTCGTCATCCTCTTCACAGGTTGGTTAAGAGGGAAATTAAAATTTTTTTGTGTTGTCCACTTTGTCAGATTTCTCTTTGATTGATTGTGCTTTTGTGTGAAGTCTAAGAGCTCTTGGCCTATTGCTCCTGCCCCTTGTCTGTTACCCCAAAGACTTTCTCCAGTGCTTTTTCTCAAGATTTTCAACCTTTATTAAAGTATAATTGATAAAAACATATATATTCAGGAGTGCAACTTGGTATTTTATGTTTTACATTTAAGTTCATGTTTATCTTGAGTTAATTTTTATACAAGGCATTGAAGTTTAGGTCAAGGCCTATGTTCATTTTGTCTGTGGAAGCCCAGTTGCTCCAGGACCATTTGGTGAAAAAGCTACACTTCCTCCATTGAATTACTTTTGTCAAAAATCAGTTGGACATATTTTCATGAGTTTATTTCTGGATTCTAGATTCTGTTCCATTTGTGTGTCTGTCCCCTTGTCAGTACCACACACTTTTGGTTATAGGCTCCATAGTAAACCTTAACACTAACTAGAATGATTCCTCTTAGGCTTTGTTATAAAATTTTTACTTATTCTAGGTCCTCTGCCTTTCTGTATAAATTTTAGAATAAGCTTGTCTATGTCTACAAACACATTCCTGGAATTTCTATAAGAATTACATTGAATGTAGATCAAGTAGTAAGAGAATGACATCTTTACCATGTGGAATTTCCCAGTTATTCACAGTGTGGCTATTTCTTTAGGTCATCTTTGATTTCCAAATGATCTCAATTCTTTCTGGGCAAAGGATTACTTTTAAACTTTTGTTTTCTAATTTCAAAGCTTTCTTCTGTTGTAAAAATTAATTTCATAAAGGGTCATGAATGTCTTAGACCCACAAAGCAAGCAGTTGGTTTCAGTCATTCACTCTCAAGTTTTAAGAGTATTGGGTTTATAGAAAGGAGAGACTGATGGGAGGGGTGAATATGATCAAAGTACATTATGTGCATGTGTAGAAATGCCACCGTGCAACCCCTTGGTTCAATTAACATACAGCAATAAAAACTTTAAAATCAGTATTGTGTTTATAAGCACTGTGTCTCAAAGTTTGATTGACAGAACTAAACTGCTTCCTTTCTGCTATAATTGAAATTATATTGAACCAGCATTAATACGCAGTTATGAACCTACTTCTGTTAAATTAGTAATTGCACTTCTACCATCACACCATACTAGCTTTCTTCTGAATGGGGTAGCCTCTGAAGCCCAACTAAGGTTAATTATTTTGTATTCTTTAGCTAACCTTTTCATACTTCCTAAACCCTTTGGCTTTTTTTTCCTTCTATTTTTGGCAGTGCTGGGGTTTGAACTCAGGACCTTATGTTTGCTAGGCAGGTGTTTTACCAGCCACACCCAGCCCTTTTTCAAATAAGGTCTTGAACTTTTTGCTTGGACCAGCACGAACCGTGACCCTCTTACCTATACCTTCTGTGTAGCTGGGATTATACACACATACCACCATGCTCAGCTTGTTTTTGAGATGGGGTCTTGCTAATTTTTTGCCTGAGCCTGTCTTAAACTGCAGTCCTCCCAAGTAGCTGTGATTACAGATTTGAGCCACTATGTCTAGCCTTTAAAACATTTTTTATTTCTATTATTTGATGGTTTTCAAACCTTTGCTCCCAAGACCCACTTAAATCCTTAAAAATTATTAAGAACCTTTTCCTCCCACAAAGCTTTTGTTTGTGGGTTTCTCTATTTAGAAATTAAAATTGAGAACATTTAAATATTTCTTTATTTAAGTAGCATTATATATCATAAAATATTTTAATGAAAAGTATCTGTATTTTCCAAACCAAAAATAAATCAGGACAAGAGTGGCTCATTTTAACATATTTTTAAATTTCCTTAATGTCTGAATGTCTGGGTTAATAGAGGGCAGCTAGGTTCTCATATCTTTTTCTGTACTCGAGCTATTGAAATATGTTGCTTTGGTTGATAAGTATGAAGAAAATTGAGCTCTACACAGATACCTATGGAGTATTTTAATAGCCTTTACAGATAACTTAATATTCTTTGATGTTATGCTAAACATAATAAGTGATATATCTCAAGTTAGTTACAAAATGGAATTTGAAGCCATATCAGTGAACTTTTGTATATCCAGTTAAATTAAAACCTGCTGTTCTTTCATTTCCCTTGAATGCATGTTTTGCCAAGGCATGGTTTTATAACATCATGTGTTGTCCATTTAGAAAATACTTATTCATAGGGTTATGCAAATTTCTCAATGTTGGTGTATTTCCTTGTATCAGTGACATGTAACTTTTGGGGAAACCTCATTGTACTCTCATGACACATAAGTGAAAATAGCAAACAACATTATTCTAAATTAGTTATCATCTAGAACCTCCCCTCCCAAGTGTCACAGAGATCTGTAGGGTTTCCCTACCATTCTGTGAGAATCACTCTTTGGATATAAGTAGTTCTTTGTTAGCAACTTCTCATGTACAGTTTCTTTTAGTGACTACCCAGCTGGGCCTGGCCTCAAACAGGGGCTGGAGGTAAAGGTACTAATTCTGTCTTAACCCTTATAACAGAGATGAGACTTTGGGGTTGTCTTCCTGATCAAGGGTGCAATAGCAGATTAGTCATAGCCATGACCAACAGTATATCCGAAAGCACTGAGTTGTAATTGTTATAAATCTTCTAGGCTTTGTGAAAAGATCAAAAATGGAATTGCATGTACACAATTATTTAAAAAAACTAAACAGTAGGGTGTACATTTAATACATAAAAAAATCCAACTATCTTAACGTTAAAAATTCCCTTTATTCTGAGCTACCCCCAAGTAGTGGTTAAGTGTTTATTCTTGATAAAAAAATAATCTTTTTTCTTATTGTAAACTATATCAAACATAAGAATTGATTGTGTGCTATCTTTCCTTTTCCATTGGGCCAGGTAGGTGCATTTCCCTTCATCTTTCCCTGCCATACCTCACTCCAGTGATAGGGATAGGTATCTGCTCTAAAAGCTTTTCTGCCCTTTCATCCTTCAGAAACCCAAATCCATATGCCCTGCCTCTGCCTCACCTGCTTGTTCTGTGGTATATCTAACAAAAGAGCTAATTAGAACAGAGTAATGGAGGTCACACCAGCCCTTGTACTACTCTTACTTTGTGCCTGTCTTTTAAACCCCAGGTTTCAGTTACTTGTCTGAGGAATTGAATGGTACAATTTTTGAGGTGCCTTTCAGTCAAGATATCTTGTTATGGCAGGGTAGTCAGAGGAGAAACCAAGCGACACTCAGAGGAGTGGAGAACTCAGGTTTTTTTTTATTTTTACGCTAGCGGGCCCAGACGTGTACCAGTGTCTGAGCCCTGAACAAAGGATTCACAAGATATTTAAAAGGTATTGTAGGGCATCAGGTTACAAAGATGTGCTCAGGTCATGGTGTCCTAACCAGTGAGTTAGATTGTTTAGGTTAATTGGGCTGGTAGTAAGCTAGGAACCTAGTGTTGTTTAGATAAGAACAGCAGGGGAGACCTGCTTTGGGAAGTTTATTTACAAGTGGAGACAAAGAAGGGCAGGAATGGGTGCTTGTCTCTGCTTGGTGCCTCTTATCTCGGTCCTGAGCTTTTGCAGGGCTCTAAAGGGCAATTCCTCACAGCTCTGTCCGAGGTTACAGCTTTTAATTGAGTTTACCATGTTTTACAACCCTGTTCCAGGGCTATCTTCCTCTTCATTCCCCCCTTTTGATGCTTTTTCCACTTTTGGATAAGCATCAACACTAGACTTTAGAAATTCTATAGGATTCTTGTTGTCCCAAAGGCCTATATTGTGTCACTAAGAGCTGCAACTTTATCGCCTCCATCCGGGAGTTAATAAAGCGAGTTATGGCATTAAGAATGCATGGACCAAATATCAGTGCCAATAGAAGCAT